GCACTACAGAAGGATTTTCCCTAGAAGAATGAAATTGATTAAAGTGAAAACGAACTGACAGTAACTTGCTCAAAGACGATAACAAGACGGAAAAGAAAGTCGTCATCCTCATAGAATTTGCATATCGTTGTTTATTCAAACAAATCACCCGATTCAAATCCTTTTCCAGCTTGTTAATGGTGTGAAAAGCCTTTTTAATCAACAGCAATCTTAATTTATACACACATATGTTGTACATTTGAGAAAGAGAAAAGCTTGCCTTGTAGCGATTAACAAGGTTCTTCCACTTGCATTTACACTGATCAGGTGTCCTCCTGTAGCCTCTCTCCCTCATCTTGGAACTTACTATCTCCCAGAGCGTCTTGTTCCTCTTGGCGACTTTGAAATCCTTCTCCAGTTCGGCGCGAATCGCAATGAAATCCTTCGTCTCCTGATGCCCCCACTGCGGCTGATTCTGAGGAGCCCTCTCCTCTCTTCCTCTTCCCGACGCCGTTTCAGCTGGACTGAGCAGCGAGGACGCCATACCGCTTATTCCGCCCAGGGCCTCGTTATCTCCGCCACCAAACATCACCTCTTCCTCTCGGTACGCCATCGTATTATGAAAAATGGATTGCAATATTAGGTTTCCCTACCTCCGGGTCCTGTAAGTTAGGGCTTTTTCTTCTGATTCTTCCGGCAACTTACTGCAGAGAGCTGTCGAAATTGAAAGAGCACTTTATCGGCGGAGAAACTCTGTATGCAAATTCTGTAAGTTGCCTAAACTGCCCTCCCACTTTGACCTCTCCCTAAAGTTTTCTTCTCCTTACCAACTATTTTTTTAGTTTCATGTTACTGCTTTCATCCCTCAAATTGCCATTGAATTACCAACGAAATTTTTGTTGGAATGAAATACGTTTGAGATTTTTCAATTGATCATGTAATTTGGAGAGGAGGAGAAGGAGAAAATGGCCATAGCACCTTTCAAACAAAAAACAAAAGAAACAGAAAAGAAGATGAAAAGAAACAAAAATGGAAAGGGCAACATGAAAAGAAAAAAAGAGAAAAAGAAGAAGAATGAAAAGCAATAGAAGCCCAAAAAGAATCCAGATCCAACCTAAATGCCCATATTTAGATCCTGCCCAAAAAGAGCCAAGTCCAGTTCGTCGTCCTGCCCAACATCTCCCATTCCCCAAAATGATGTTCAACCTTAACGATAACATCAAATGATGTCATTTCAATACAACTCTTTCAAGTCTCCCATCTTCATTCTGACAATATAAATAAACCAACATTATTATATATATTTTCGTGATTCTGTAATCTAAAATTTATACTTATAATCGAATTATCTAA